AAATGGTGATCTAAATGTTGGAACACCTTTGAATAAGTTAATATGAAGTGTTAGAATTGTCGGAAGTCGAAAAAGTTGCGTAGATTGCATTTTATGCAAGTTTTTTCAAATTACGGTATGATTTCGATAAACTACGTGCACAATACTCAATCGGGAGGTTTTTGATWGGGTGTTAAGCTTTGGAACTAAKTTTTGGACCTATTAKGAGTTGTTGGAGGTGTTGGAAAATTTTTACGGGATTCCGAACCCAAAATCAAAAACGGCAAAATTTCAAAGGAAAGCATAACTCGTACAAATATGAAAACTGCTGTTGTTGGGAGGTCTTTTATGAAAAGTGTTTTATTGTAAATTATAGATTATCTTGTTATGAACGCGTAGGCGAAAACCTCATCGAAAACGGAGTTCCGAGCGAAAAGTTATGCAATTTTTAGTGTTTAATGGTCAAAACGGGTACCCAGCCGGGTCAAACCGACCCAACTCGGGTTTTAGACATATAAACACGAATTCAGCCCCAATTCTTCTCCATTTTCATTTCTAAGCTTATGTACTCTTCAAGGGAACCAAACTTGGGTGTTTTAGCAAGAAATTGGTGAAATTTTGCAAGATTATTGAAGGTATGTTTCCATTTTTGATAATGTATTCATTTTGAGTTCAAGAAACCATGAAATTATGGTTGCATGTTGAGGATTATAAGCTGAAATCTTGATATTGTGTAGGATATGTAATACATAACTTATTATCTTGTGGAAATCATGATTAGATAAAAAGAAATAGTTGTGTATACATGATATGGTTTGGGAAAGTTTGACTTTTGATAGTCAACCTTATATGAAGATGAACTAGGTGAATGTTTAGTAAAGTAATGATGGATTCATGATGATTTCATATAAGTTATGRTAATATAAAACTAATATATGAATTTGGTACAAAATGGTTTGGAGTTTAACATGAAAAGGTGAAAAATAGTTATCTTCGAGTTTGAAAGTCTTGGTATAAGTTCTGTTTTAGAAAAATCGTATAAAATTGTAGAAAACTCCTAAAAATATGTACAAATAGGCTCTGAAAAGGTAATAAAAAGTTCTACAATTCATATTTGAAAGTCATTTAATGATTTTGAGTTTAAGAAGGTCAAAACAGGTCTGCAAATAGGTGCTGTAAGAAGAAAACTAAAGTGGAAAACTTGAATTAAAAAGGGTTAATTTATATGTTATTGTTGTGCATTGTTAATAAGACTTTATATATGAACTCCAGGTGTTATTTAAGCATAATTTAAGGCCTTGGAAGTGCTTTCCAACCACTGAGCGGGAGTTAGGATTCGACCTTTCGGTTTGGCTTCCAGTTTGATCAACCGATTTCATTAATCAACATTGTGAGTTTATGTGGACATATGTGTGTACTTTGTGATTATGTATGCTATGAT